TTGAGCCTGGAGCATCTTTGTTACATATTGATCACACAATCTGTTTTATGGTGATGTTTTAGCAGGACACAGTGGGATGAATTTTGTGTTTGTTGTAACTGGAGATGTTTTGCGATCAGCTCATTTACACTTAAACAAGTTGATTCGTTTAAATTTCTTTACTTTTTGACAGCTGTTCATAATGATTGGTTTGACACTGGATTCTCCACTCAGGGTTATATCTCATTTTAGATATCAGTTATTAGTTAAGTTTAGTGCCATTTTCCGAAGTAATGAAAAAAGTAATCAGGCCCTTAAGAAACTGGCTAGTCTTCCTTGCTCGTACCTTTTCTGCAAGCTGTGGTTGCATCCAGCTGGGAGCTTGTGCCTATTGATCTTTCACAACTGCTCTCCGATACGAGACAGAAGTGGCATGCTGCAATCGGCTGTGTGAGCAGCATCACAAATGAGGCTGGGGGAAACAGAGATGGATGCATAGAAAGAGGTAAAGAGAGCACATTGTGGGGAAGAAACGAAGTGGAAGTATAAGGAGGTGTGTGACGGGCGGGAGGAAGATGGGGAGATGGTGAAGCACTGGAAAGAGAGGGGGGGGGGGGGGTGGGGGGGGAGTGCTGCAGTGGAGAGAAGTGAGAGGAGACTGCAGTCTCTGCTAATGGGAGAGCTCAGACTATGTAACCACAGCTCCAAGGAACTATATCCTAACACTCATTGAATGGGCCACCTCACAGGGGGGGAATACCTCATCTGACCGGTGAGTGTTCGCTTCAGCATCTTTGCAGATTTACAAGCAAAAGCGTCCTCTGACATCACTGTCACCAAAATGCATGAGAGCATGGTTATCTCACAGCATCTTCTCTGCATTTTTAAAGTATCTGAGCCATAAGAAACAGTTCAAGTCTCAGTCATCCTGAGCGTACTGGTTAATGAGGATATTTCAGAGTCTTTTTTTTATATCTCTTTCTGTGGCTGAGTGACGCTGGCCAGTGATGAGCTGCACGAATCAAAAGCAGATATGGACTCAGTGTTATCTGGCACGCAGGTAAAATTTAAGCTCAAACAAGAGAGGAGGACATTGTTTGATTTCACGGTAGCTCCTGCTTTTATAATCAAAAAGCTGGAAATTTAGTTGACTGACTGAACTGAATTGTTATTTCTTTAAATGATTGAAATGATGTTTTCACTTGTATTTTTTTACAGCTGACGTGATGTGTCAAAGGTGATATAGTTGTGGTAGATTAATGGGAAAGATGTTTAATACGTTTAGAAGAAAGCATAACAGTATCCAAACTTTATTCATACCCTGTATGTAGAACAGCTCAGTCTGTGATTGTGTTGTCTCTCTGCTCACCGTCTTGCTTATTTTACAGGCAGGTCACCTCAGATACAGACAGGTTGTGGGCACATCTGGATTGCTGATGGAAACTGACAGGATTGCTAAGCAACATTGACCCAAAGTAGAGAGGCATCTTCTGTGCCGAACTGCATGCATTAGATGTTAAATCCTGCGCTACAGTGTGAGAAACTCTGCAGGGGACAGCACATGTTAGAAAAGCTACATCTATTGATCTGTGGCCTGTGAATCAATGAAAACAAAGTTGCATCATGATTGTTTAGATTGTACACTTTAATTTTGTGTTACAGATATCCCCACACAACTTACAGCCTCTGTGATTGGACTATAAGTACATTTATTTATTTCCACTCCGAAGTTTTGGTGATATCCTCTGTGAAACTCAACACGCAGATGTTATTATATTTCAAATGAATAGGTGTTTTTTTGTTTTTTTTTTACCTCTATTTGAATTAGTTAGGACTAGAAGGAAACGGTTTGTTCAGTTCACCACAAAAGTTGGAGAATTGAGTGTTGTCAGTTATTACAAAGTAGCGGGAAGTCCACTTTGTTTCATTTGTCTCTGACCAATTCGGAAAGCCACTTGGTTCCAGTTTATTCATCTTCAGGCCACCGTCTGTGCCAGACAGTAAATAACTGTGAAGTTCATAAAATATTTAAAGATTGTCCCGGATAAGATGAAAAAGCTAAAACCCATTATTCCTTTGATCACTCCAGTGTGCATTTTCACACCCTAAATTATCTGAGTACATATTTTTACGTGAATTGACCTAACTGTGCTGATAAAAAATAAAACAATGCAGTCTTTGTTAGAATGTGAATTGCAGGCTCACAACGCCAATAGATCACTTCACATATTATTTTTTTCCCTTTTATCCATTTAACATTTCATTAACATGCTTCACAGTGAATAATTCTTTAATTCTTGGATAACTTTGTAAGATACGGTTCATTGTGTTCAGTGTGAGAGGGATAATTCCTGTCTGATTAGGTTGATTTTTAATTTTCATAACAAACTTTGCCTTTAGATTTATTTATGTATTTAAAAATGATAACTTAAGCTCAGTTAGATAACTAACATATTTTAATAAAATTGCACAAATTGACTTTGATCACGCCTGGAGCATCTCACCTTTAATGGTCTACACTTTTAGAGCAGCTTGAGGTCTCATCTGTTATCAAGAAAATCATCTTTAACTTTTAACAAGGTTGGGTTAGGTCCTCTGGAGGAATTAATTATTTTTTTTGTCTTTTATCCAAAAGACTTCTTAAGTGTGAGGAGCTGCAACAAACTGACATAAGCAGCACCTTCTCATAGTGGATCAACCAGTCTGCTGGTAACATCCAGAACTAGGTGTTCACATGCAAAAGGAGGACCATCAGCCTGACCAATTGTTAAGGCCCCCACTCGGGCATACTGTGTGTACTCCATGAGCTGCTCGGACTCCGCACGCACTGTCCGCATATGGGTGAGACTTCAAACTCGAGCGTACACCCTGATGGGCTGCAGCCCAGCCCTGCAGGTAAGGGGCGTTTACCTTCAGGACAAATTGAGGTAAACGACTGGTCATTTGCTGACACGCCTACTGGATTGATTGACAGGTCGCATTGCGGATGCGACTCGTGAAAAAATAAATAAAAAATGAGAGCCGGTGACCCTGAGTAGAGTCAGAGTGGCTCAGGAGCAGCACAGCAGTGCTCTGTGTTTTTATGTTGTTAATAAAAAGTTCTAAAAAATAAAAACATGGAGCACTGGCCCTGCAAGCCACAAATCAGACCGGATCTCCGGAAAATCTCTGTACCCTCCCGATTAGCCATGTCAGGCCTTAGCGTACAGATTTTAATTCTCTCATGACAAATTCCTTCATTCCTCACAATTTTAGTCATTGTGTTAATGGATGAGGAGTAAGAGATCGTTTGCCTCTTGGCAAAAAAAAGAAAAGAAATGGCCTTGAAACCAGACCATGGATGAAGAAGGGAAATTTAATACACTGGTGAAGGATATGAAGATGATGGACATTGAGAAACATTTTGAATATTTTCGAGTGGATTCTAGAACGTTCGATGAGCTAGTTGGGTGCTTAGCCACGTTTCTTCACCACCAGGGCAGCCACTGCACACCTGTCAGGGCTGCACAGAGAGCGGCAGTCATGCTGCGCATCCTTGCGACTGCTCTGAGAGCAGTTGGTATCGCATACAAAACAGTCCGTCACCAGGCAGTTTATTGTGCAACACAGAGTATGTGTACGTGGTCAAAAAAATTGATATTTGTGTGGACATGACTGGTGGACATCTGCTTCGAGTCCGTGTTGAGTCCACCTCGAGTACATGCTGACCTCCATGGAGTGAAGTATGCCTGAGTATGTGGGGGCCTTAAGTCCCTTGATGACCGCTTGTTATTCACAGAGGGCTGAGTGATACTAGCAATAACAGTTTTATAAGAGGGGGACAGTTGAATATGGAGGCCTCCACCCCTGTTTAATGATGGATGGTTTCTTTTCACAAAGATGGCCTCCTTTACTCCTCTCTCAAACCATCATTCCTCTCTATCCAGGATGTGAACATCTTCATCCCTGAAAGAGTGACCACTGGCCTGGAGATGAGTGTTGACCGCAGAGTCCTGGTCTGATTGCTCTTCTTATTTTAACTTTAAAAAGACCACCTCCACTGCCGCATCAACAGGAATGCATGCAAATAGTGACCTCAAAAGAGATCATTGTTTCATCAGTCTCCATGATGACATCTCAAATCAGAGACCACTCTGAGCAGCAGGACCACGCTTTCCACAGAGCAAATGTGTCAACTATTGAAACTGTGCCTTCAGTCAACCTACTTCATTATAGACATAGACATGGGTGTGCTGTGGGGTCTCCAGTTTCTCCTACTGTTGCCAACCTGTACATGGAGGAGGTAGAAAAGAGAGCCTTGACGTCCTTTTCAGGGACACCACCAAGTCATTGGTTCAGGTATGTTGATGACACTTGGGTTAAAATTAAATATCAGGAAGTCTAACATTTCACTGACCACATCAACTCTGTGGATAAATACATCAAGTTCACATGAGAAGATGCAGAAAATGGCAGGTTGGCTTTCTTGGACTGTGAGGTCTCAGTTTCTGATGAAGGACATTTTCAAACTGAGGTGTACCACAAACTCACCCACACAGACCAGTATTTGCAGTTTGACTCCCATCACCCTTTGGAGCACAAGTTAGGAGTCATCAGGACTCTGTATCACAGAGCAGACAGCATCCCCACTAACTCAGGAGCCAGGCAGAAGGAGAAATCCCACACAAGACAGGCTCTAGGGCAATGTGGATATCCTAACTGGGCCTTCCTGAAAGCAGAGAAGAAACCCAAACAGGACTCCAGTCAGCCATCAGGTGAAAAGGAGGAACCCAGACCCAGACCAGTGGTCATTCCATATGTTGAGGGAGTTTCAGAGAAACTGACATTTGACATGACATCCCAGTGGCTTTTAAACCCCAAAATACATTACAGCAAAAACTGATTCATCCCAAAGATCCAGTCCTTTGGCACAAACAGAGTAATATTGTGTATGCTGTTCAGTGTCAGGAAGGCTGTGATCAGTCTTACATGGGGGAAACTAAACAGCCACTAGCCAAAAGGATGGACCAGCACAGAAGATCAACATCATCAGACCAGGACTTTGTGGTCTACATCTGCAGGCCAGCAGTCACGCTTTCAGGGATGAAAATGTTCACATCCTTGAGAGGAACATTGGTTTGAGAGAGAAGTGAAGGAAGCCATATTTGTGAAAAGAAACCATGCATCCATCCATCCATTTTTTTCTGCTTATCCGGGGTCAGGTCGCGGGGGTAGCAGCTTAAGTAGGGAGGCCCAGACTTCCCTCTCCCCAGTCACATGGGCCAGCTCCTCCGGGGGAATCCCAAGGCATTCCCTGGCCAGCCGAGAAACATAGTCCCTCCAGCATGTCCTGGGTCTTCCTCTGGGTCTCCTCCCGGTGGGACGTGTCCAGAACACCTCACCATGGAGGCCTCCAGGAGGCATCCTAACCAGATGCCCAAGCCACCTCAACTGGCTCATCTCGATGTGGAGAAGCAGCGGCTATACTCTGAGTCCCTCCCGGATGGTCGAGCTTCTCACCCGATCTGTAAGGGAGAGCCCAGACACCCTGTGGAGAAAACTAATTTTGGCCGCTTGTATCCGAGATCTCATTCTTTCGGTCACAACCCAAAGCTCATGACCATAGATGAGGGTGGGAACATAGATCGATCGGTAAATTGAGAACTTTGCCTTTTGACTCAGCTGTCTCTTCACCACGACAGACCTGTACAGCGCCCGCTTCACTGCAGACGTTGCACCTATCCACCTATCGATCTCACGCTCCATTTTTCCCTCATTTGTGAACAAGACCCCAAGATACTTTAACTCCTCCACTTGGGGCAGGACCTCCTCCCTGACCCGGAGAGGTCACTCTACCCTTTTCCGGCTCAAGACCATGGCCTCGGATTTGGAGGAACTGATCTTCATCCCGGCCGTGTCGCACTCGGCTGCAAACTGCTCCAGCGAAAGCTGTAGATCACGATCTGATGAAGCCAATGGTGATGGTGAAAATAAACCGTCCATCATTAAACAGGGGCGGAGGCCACCTTGTTCAACTGTCCCTCTCTTACAATGCTGTTATTGCTAGTATCACTCAGCCCCCTGTGAATAGCAAACAGTCATCAGGGCCCTAACAATTGGTGGTCAGGCTGATGATCCACCTTTTGCATGTGGACAACTAGTTTTGGATGTCACCAGCAAACTGGTTGATTCACTATGAGAAGGCGCTATTTAAAAGACTGAGTTTGTTTCAGCTCCTCAAGCTGAAGAAATCATTTGGATAGAGACAAAATGTTTTAACAAAGAAGAATCCGTCCATATGACCTGACTTAACCTTGTTAGATTCATCTACCTGGACTATTGAGCTGTCTGCTGCAGGAAATCTTTGACTTTTAGTTATTTATAAAACAGGAAAGCATCTTGATCTGGTAATTATCAAAAGAGCAACAGCATAAAGGAATATAGTTAAAAACAGTGACAGCTCAAGAAAAGACCCATCAGCATGTCTCTCTGTTCATCCATCCATCCATCCATCCAACTGCTTTGATCCTATTCAGGTTCGGTAGCTGCTATCTATTTCCAGCGGTCAATGTACAAGAGGTGGACAGGTCGCCAGCCCATCACAGACAAAAATCCACTTACCAGATTTCCAAGCATGCAGCCTAAGTGACCACTGAAGATCAATATTCACTACTGCACTTTAAAACACAGTGTTCATCATAAAAGTGTAGACTAGTCAGAGGACAATTTAACTAATTCAGATTATGAACAGCTAATTAGTTAAGGCATGGCGTGGTGACAAACACAGGCTGACAATGGTCAAAAGATCTTTGTAGTTGACTCTAATAACATCAGGAGGCACATTTTCCTTCCTTGTTAAACTGACATTTCACTTGCTATTCAGAAGAAAAAAATAGAATAAAAGTAGAATTTTAAAAAAATGCTTTGATTTTGACAAAAGTCACTTTTTGGTCTTTTTCCAACCACTTTTTTTTGTTGCGTGTTTGTGTTTCAGGGACCAAGCTCCTAGTCTTGGACAATGAAGTTCAACTTGTTCAAAAAGCCTCAGGCTGTTGCAGCCGCCGAGCCCACTAGCGTCACCACCGTGACCATGGCGCCCTCCCCACCTTCTATGTCCACCTCTGCCCCAGACATCTCAGGCTCCAACAACACAGAGATCAGCAAGAACGACATGTTTGAGGAGATCAAAAGCAAATTCTTGAATGAAATTGATAAAATCCCCCGTGAGTAACTCCACAGTAAAACAAAGAACTATTTGATAAAAGTTACACCAAAACAAAAGTTTCAAGCCGTTTTAATGTTAATGAACTAATTTTTGTTTGAACACCTGACAGTTCCTCCATGGGCTTTGATTGCTATTGCTGTGGTGGCCGCGTTGCTCGTCCTCACGTGCTGCTTCTGCATCATCAAAAAATGCTGCTGCAAGAAAAAGAAGAACAAGAAAGGAAAGAAGGGCAAGGATGGCTTCAACATGAAGGACATGCAGGGAGGCGAGGTATGGCCTGTTTCATAAAAGTCTGACTGACAGCATGTTTTAGTGGAAATATGACCTCTTCTTTTTTAATAACACCTCATAATTCAGTTTTCATTGTAATTTCTAAACACCTCTTGCTCATATTCAGTAACTGTGGCTAACTAAATCTGATCTTTCACCAGCAGCACTTGTAGCCCTGGCTGTAGAGGACACAAGGAGAGCTTCTTTTTATTTTTTTTAACCTCCTTTTATGTGATGTTATTGTGTTTGTTCAAATGTGTGACATATTCCATTGTGGCCTGTTTTGAAAAATGACACACATTGTTGCAAAATGGCAAAGAGCACCTTGAGTAAATGAATGAAAGTGAGAATCCTGCAACTGAAAGCAAAGTAAAAGCTTTCACCCTGGGCTGTTTGATGATTCTCTGCCCTCATCTGGGTGTGTCATTTCTCCTCATAAGTGTAGATGAGGTGGTGTTGATCGCCTCTTTTTTTGTCATGTGTTTGGTGTCTTGTGTGTTGAATCTCTTCCTCTCTCTGCTCTCCTCCTATTTTTCCCACTTTGTGTTTGTCTTGTGTTTCTTGACTGTGGTGGACGCCCTGTTCTACGGTAGGTGGATAGCTCATGTTGATACCCTCTGCCCGCTGGCAGGGCAGAGGGGGATTTCATGGAATGAAAGTCATAGCTTCCTTTGCTTTCTTTCTTTCTTTTTTTATTAATTTTGTCATGATAGTTTGAGAATGTTTCTTTGGGAAAGCTATAATGTCCTCCATAAACCCAAGAGAGGAGAGTTTAACCATTGAACACATTGTTCCTTGGACAATGTCACTGTCACTCACACCAATATGGAAAGTATTGGATAATAGTATGCAAGACACTGTTAACACTAATAACATGTGCATGATGAAGGGCATGCTTGATTGTTTGGGAGACATGAAACTGGTGATGACTAAACTGCATGACAAGCGAAATGTTAAAGAAAAATTTGCTTTTAGATTGTGGTACACAAAAAGTTGTTGATTGTGGAGATACTTGAGTCTAAAGATAATTTTATAGACTACAATATTTTTTATATTCCAACTGCTATGCATCCATGCTCTGCTTTTTATTATATATTTGGTCCATCTAATTTAACTTAATTTCTCTTGATGCCCACACTTGATTTAACTAATGTTGTATTATAAATACAGTAGTTCTATTTCATATAGGCTTCGCCCTTTAAGGCTGTCGCTGATGGGTTTATCCCGTTATGCAGAGCATAAGCACTGAAAAAAAATTAGTCCACGCCCACCTGCTGTGTGGGCCCCACCCGGTCCGTATAAATTACGTTAAGAGCGGGAAATCGGCTCCCATTTTTTCTTCAGCGAGCTAATATAGCACTGTCAGAAGAACAAAGAAGATAAATTGTGTAAATGACCAACCTTTGCGAAAGATGCTTGGCCCGGCAGTCGACCTCCGGTCGTCCGGTGAGTTCTCCTCCCCGAGGAGAAGATGACAGCAGTCTTATTCCAAGGTAAGCGTCGGGGAACATTTCCCAGTGACAGGTCACTACACGCTGGACAACGCCATCTTGTGTTTTTCCTCTTATCGCCGACCCTCGGGGCGAACCGGATGGTTCCTCCGGGGCAAGGCGTGCTCAGCTGCAGCCCCGCTGCTCTTTCCCTCCTGGGGAGCGTAGTGTAGGTGGAGGGGGGCTGAGTGAATGCTCACCCCATCCCACCTCGTTTCGCATCGGCGATCACACCGCTCCCGGCCGACGGCGCCCTCAGGGGTTGCCCGGCGGAACCCAGGAGGAGGCTGACATGAAGGGACCCCTTTTTTCTACGTCCCTCGCCTTTTCCCGCCAGTTCGGATGATCGGCGGAAAGGTTGTTTTTCACTGGGCTCCACTCTGGCTCACCGTCTTGATCCATACGGCCTCGCGTTCCAACAGGACGTTCCACGGGCGAGGCCGCAGACGGTTCTTTCCTGGTAGATTAGAGGAGTCGGTCCCCAGTCCGCTCCCATCACCAGAGTTGAGGGATTCACCGAGCGGGGCTATTCCTCGGTAACCCCCCCTGGAGCCAAGCCTCGCGGAAGCTTCCGGAGCGAAGCTGCCCAGGTCGGAGCAGCGTCCCGTCCCTCCGGAGGAACACAGACGGCAACCACGCTCTCCAATCGAGCCCACCGACGTGTTTTTCAGGCAGCCGCAGCTAGCAACAACGTGCGCTGCTAGCATATAGCATGTCCAAGGGATTGAAGGCCGCAGACCTGCCTTGGAGACGAAGATCTCCCTCTGTAAAGCAGCTGACGCCAGCTCAACATGTGTGCCTCTCCCACGGTTTGCCTTGTCGGGGACTGCAGCGCGGAGGACGATGACCCAACGATCCACCTGGCTTCGTTACTCCCCTCGCTGCCGGAGAATCTGCACAAGACCTGATGAAGCCCATCGCGGACGCGCTGTTCAGAGCAGCTTCAAACCATGCTGGCGAAGTGAAACAGTCGGAGGAGGTGCCAAAAGCTGTTCGCCACCTCATCAAGCCGCGCGGCCCACCCCGTCCCCGCTGGAGGGACCGTCGCGAGCAAGTTTTCGACTTTTCCACGGCCGCGGCTCTCGCTGAGTTCCACCACCAGCCCCGCCCGTCAGAATCCAGCCCTCTTCACTCCGGCAGCCTGCAGCTCAGCGTTTCCCCAGAGTTCGCCTGCAAGACAGCGCTCTGGGCAAACAATCGCAGAGCTCATGAGAGAGAAAGCTCTCAAATGACGGTCTCCGGAGGGTGTGTGTAAAAGTGACACGAAAGTTGAAATAAATCATCATTAATGATCCAAGTGTCTGTTTTTTAGCCAGTCTGTAAGCCCGGATGAGCTCACAGTGGCCGCACACATAAGAGCGCACTCGTGGGATGAAACAGCCCCACACACGAGCCGGTGTCCTTAAATAAAGGTTTGTAACTCACCGTCGCTCTAAGACATGACGAGTCGATCACAGAACAGCCTCCACACATGAGCCGGTGTCCTTAATTAAAGGTTTTTTAACTCACCGTCGCTCTAGACATGACTAGTCGATCACAGGACAGCCTCCACACATGAGCCGGCGTCCTTAATTAAAGGTTTTTAAACTCACCGTCGCTCTAGACATGACGAGTCGATCACAGAACAGCCTCCACATGAGCCGGTGTCCTTAAATAAAGGTTTTTTTAAACTCACCGTCGCTCTAGACATGACGGGTCGATCACGGCACAACGGTAAGCGAAAATAACTCATTACCAACTAGAACTGCATGATCCTCACTCAAGCGGTGTCAACTCGCACTCGTGGGATGGAACAGCCTCCACATGAGCCGGTGTCCTTAAATAGGGTTTTAATTCACCGCCGCTCTTGACATGACGAGTCGAACACTAAGATGACAGCCTCCATCCAACGGTGCTGCGTTGATGCTGGCGCACACAGCTGCCGGCGCTAACCAGCTCACATCGGTATAAATGTGGTCCGCAGGCTGGTCCGGGTGGGGGTCCTTCTCTCTCAGCTTTCGGCAGCTCACCGCAGCTTAAACGTGAAGCAGCCGAAGAACCCGGTAATGAGTCCCACCTCCCTCCAGCGCGCGCCCCTCCAGCGAGAGCGGCGCGCGTCCCTCCAGAGAACAACGTGTGCTCCCGCGGGGCTAAGCAGCCTTCACTCCAACAGCACGGTGTAAATGAAGTCACGCCCTCCGCCTTTCAACGTTCGCACAGCGACGTCAAACGCGCAGCTCACTGCGTCATCAGCTGTCACACGCTTCGCCTTCAGCTCAAGTCTCGCCCGGGGTCACACAGAAAACATTCCCGCGACGCATGACGGCGGTTGAGGGGCGGACTGCTGACAGCCGTACAAAACATGACGCATCATTAACGCACGTTCATCCACGAACGTTACGTAGAGTGGCTAAAACATGCTCGCCGTTTTTCAGATGGATGGACAGGGTTTATGCAAATGGTACAAGTTACAGTTTGCAACCCGAACCCCTCCATTCAGAGGAGTTATATAAACGGTCCCGTCATCATCAGACTGATTCTCTTCCCTAAATGCAGAAATCCAAGTGTTTTCTGATAAAAGTAATCTACAGAGTTCCCCAAGGGAGAGAAAACACGAGGGTTTTACTCACGGATCGGAGGGGTGAGACCGTTCTTGGATCTGTTGTTTAACATCCAGAGAACGCATACCAATCATCCTAAAACACAGAGACGAGAGTTTTTTGTTTTACCTGGATGATCTGCAGATCCTGTCACTTCAGACAGGAGGCGCTGATGCAGGATCAGGTGTTGACATCACACCTGTTAATCTGGGCTTCGCCATAAAGTGGAAGGAAGCTCGATTTTCCCGGCCCAGACATTTGTTTTCTGGAGTGGAATTAAATTCAACCACCATGAAAACTCGTTTATCACATGAGACGCCTCTAGAGGTGTTTTTGCACGTCTGCATGTGGATCCAGTAAAACACACGACGGATGATCATTGTCTTTTCCTCTGTGGAAGCAGACCTCCGACTCTGGGGAAACACCTTGTTTTTCTATCAGAGGGAGTCCCCCTCAGCAGACCCACGTCATGGGTCAGTCTTCACGGACACGTTGCTGTCAGGCTGGGGGGGGGACATGCCTATCTCAAGCAGTAGGGGCGCTGTGGCCCCACTACACATCAGCCCACATCAATGTTTTGGAGTGTCGCACAGTACTGAATGTGATTCAACACCTTGCTCCTGTGCTACAGAATCAACACGTGTTGATTCACACAGACATCATGATGACTGCTGCGTACATAACCATCAGGGTGTGCGTTCAGCCCAGATGTTACACATTGTGCGAAAGCTACTGAGTTGGGTTCATCAAAACCTGCTTTTATTAGAGCGGTTTACATATCCGGTGTTCTGAACAGAGGGGCTGATGTGACGTCCAAGGGCGGTCCACGTTACGTGGACCGGATCCTCCATCCGGATCTGATGTTTTCAGACGCAGCAGAAGTTGGCAAAGCAGCTGTGGACCTGTTTGCGATGCGAGAAGAACGCTCAAT